TCATTCCAGCTGTCAGAATGTAAGGGCTGGATGAATGCACCGGGGTATAGGGAGAAAATAGGGGTGCCGAAGGGGATCGCCCGCTTTGTATCTACAGACTTACCTAGATTCTATTCATGGAAACTAACTGTGTCTAATTTCCGAAAAGTGCAGATTGGAGAAGAGGAGGGTATATAGTTCAATTTAAGAGTGTATACAGTCTGAAGATACCGGAGAGAGCGTTCATTACCGGTATGCTATTTTACCAGTCCGGGATGCCAGAATCAGGAAACACCAAGACTCTCGTTGGACATTGCAATAACCCTGGCAGAGAGATCCGGATCCTCAAATTCGCGATCAAAAGGCCACATTGGCCTTATGATGCGTTTATGACCAAGCCTCACCAGATCCTGGTCGACACCCCCCGGTGTGAGGCCCAGCATCCAGTCCTGGGCCATGTCGTAAAGCTCCGGCTCGAGGTATCCGATCTTCACAATGACGATGTCCGCTGATCGGGGCGCGAGGCCCAGCTCGGTAAAGTCTCGCTCGAGGTGGTAAGGTTTCCGCAACTTAGTGAGAATGGCATAGACGCTGCCCACCTGCAGCACGACTTCGACGGCGGCATGATGGTCTCCGTGCTTAATGGCATGGACTCTGCCGGTCATCGTCAGCGGGCCGGCGTGGATGTCGTCCACCTCCGCGCCAGCCGTAACAGTGACGACGGCGCCGACACCCGCCTCGACAGCCTTCTCTACGGCGCCGGGCCCAGGTAGACTGGCGTAAATGACTACTGGTCCGGACGCATCCTTGAACTCGGGCCGCGCTAGCAACTGCGTGAGCCCCCAGCTCACGTCTCCCGACCCCCCGGCTGTTGGGTTGTCGCCGGAATCAGAAATGAAGTAGGGGCGTTTGTCGGATCGCAGAGCCGCATCGAGGCACTCCGCAAACGTCCCCGTAGGCGCGACGAACTTGAAGTCCTTATGAGCATCCCAGAAGATCCGGGCTAATTTCTCTGCGCCCGCCGAAACCGCTTCCTTATCCCAGCCTGTCACGACTACCACCGCCTGGTTCCTGGGCTCGTCCGCCCAAGCGTATCCAACCCATATCGCCGCGTCTATTACCCCTTCTGCGCCCTCAACCGCCGGGATCGCAGCATAGATGTGAGTGGCAGGCTCGTCGCGTGTCGATGTCTGCTCGCCAGGCAGCAATACCGGGAGCGGTATCCAAGCCTTATAAGGGCGGAAGTCCCTCCCATCTTTCCGGCGATTGATCAATTCCACGAGGTTTTTGCACGCGCGCGCCTTCGTCTCGGCGACGTCGACATGTGGCGCCGTTCGGTAGCACGTTATCAGATCTGTCTGGTGCGCCAACTCCCGTGATACGTTGCCGTGGAGGTCCATGGACGCGGACACCAGGACATCCGGGCCGAGGACGTCCCGGCAGCGCCTGAGAAGCTCGTACTCGGCGTCATCCAGACCCTCGACGCACATGGCGCCATGAATATCGAACCACAGCCCATCGAGCACCGCCGACGCTGTTATCTCCTGAAGACGCGACACGATCTCAGTCGAGAGCGCCTCGAATGCGTCCCGGGTCACGATACCGCCGGGCAGGGCATGGCCGATGAGCGCGCCTCGCCAGTCCGCAGCTGCGCCGAGCGGCGGTCCCGGTTGGATGAAGGGGTATTTCTCGACGATTTCATCGCCCCGGCGGGGATGAAATGCGGGTGCTTGGGTTCTCGAGGCCGAGAAGGTCGACGTTTCACACGCGAGGCCTGCAATGGCGATTACAGGACGCCGCGCCATTGTCAGTGCCGCTGGGCAAGTCTTGTACGTATGGTCTGCAAAGTGGTTTGATGTTATAACTAAGTAAAGTAGAACTACATCTTTTCGAATTGAAGTCCCACGGCTAATGTCCCTCTAACTCCTCCCCCAACTCCAACCCCCACCCAAACTTACTAAGTGAAGCTAAACCAGCTTCCGTGGTTGAGAAAGTCTCCTGAGCTCTCGCTTTCCGCTCATTTCGCTAAAGCGAAGCTTCCCAGAACTTAGACATATATCAAGTCCAAGTTTATACCATACTTCTGACGCGTGCTAAAGATGGCTTGACATGATAAGACGGGTAACGTTACCCGCCATCGATCCGTTACGCTTACAACCTCACAAGGAATCTCCATGGAGCCAACAAGGCCGTTATCAGCCAAGACATCACTTTCTTAACAAGCACCTGCTAGCCCTCACTAAATCTCAGAGCCGGGAATACGAACATAGACAGCTGAGACGTACAGAGTTGTGGTATGGACACCTTCTTCTATAGGTGCCTTCCCATCACCTCCCAATCGTTGCTTTGCACAATCTGCCATAAGTCCACGCCGTGAACCGCACCGCATTAGCATCTACAAAGCGCGAGCCCAAGTCGGCGGCCCAGATAATGACGCACCCGACGACGGCGGCTGCCAGGCCGATCCCCGCGCCGTACTGCCAGTACGAGTCCGATCCCGTGAGCCGCAGGAAGTATCTCCCCAGCCAGAGGCCGAGGCTGTGTAGGATGAGCATGTGGACGAGGTAGAGCGCAAAGGACACCCGGCCGAGGTACTGCGCCGGCCGCGTGGTGAAGATCCCCTGCAGGGAGGGCGCGCCGTCGATCGCCAGCACCAGGGACACCGCGGCCATCGGCTGCCAAAAGTAGTCCGCGGCGCCGGAGGCGTGGAAGTGGGCGGGGACGAGCCCGGCGAGGGTCTGGAAGCCGCAGCTCTGGGCCGCGCCCCGGCCGTGCTCCGGCATGCTGAGGACGAGCAGGCTGGCCAGAAATGCGGCGACGTGGAAGAGCCGCCGGAGCCCTGGGCTCCTCAGGGGCGCGCACCGTCGCAATCTGACTCGCCTTGCTTCGCCCCCACCCTCCTCGGCTGCGTTGATCCCGGCTTCCGCGGAGGGGGCCGACCGCGGAGAGCGCAGATTGGACTCGACGACGAGCATGCCTCCCACGAAGAGGAACTCCCCCCAGTGGAAGTACCAGAGGGAATAGAAAGCGACGCCGAGCGTGATCACGACGCGCGCTCGCGCCGTGCACCTCGACAGCGCGATCAGAAGGGTGAAGACGACCAGCGAACTCTTGAACTCGATCGGCAGGGTCCACAAGGAGTCGCTGTACACCCAGTTGAGGCCACTCGGGCTATACACGTCGGACAGGGCTAGGATGGTCTTGAGATAGTTCCCCAGCTGCGCCCCGAAGCCGTCGAACCGAGGCGGATTCATCGGCCGTATGGCAGCGCCCGGCGTGCCCTCTCCCCCGCCGTAGCCCCTGAGGTACGTGATCACCGGCGCCGGGGCGCACATGATGACGGCGGGCACGAACAGCCTCGGGTGTCGGCGGAAGATGGAGGACGACAGGGCCTGGTACATCTTGAGATGCTGGTCCTTCTGGATGAGGGTCAGCGGCTTCAGGCTGAGCGCGTAGCCCGAGACGACGAAGAAGATCATGACGTTCGCGGGCCCCGAGATGACCAGGCGGATAATCGGTAGCTGGATGAGGTGGTCGCTCGAGCTGGTCCAGCCGTTGTGGATTTCCCACGAGAACCAGACGAGCGACATGTGGTGCATGACAACGAATAATGCCGCGACGCCGCGGACACCGTCTTTTCATTTGTTAGCCGGGTGAGATGAGATGGAAGGATATACAATGGGCGTTACTGACCGAGCCAGGCCGTCGGGCGCGGCTTTCTCGGTTCGACCTGGGCTGATGACGTGCTAAAGAAGCTGGGGAGGAAAATCTTAAGCGCCCGAAGCCATCGCCAGCAAGTAGACCTTCGCTTTCTTGGCGTAGCTGCATCGATAGATAATATGCTGGGTTCGAGATCAGGCACTTGGTCTTTCTCGTACTCTTCGGGCTCGATTCCCAGCAGGGTGTAGCCTGCTGGGCTATCTGCTTTGCTTAGCCGTAGCTGTCTGAGTACCTGGGAAATTTTCATCCTTCACGATAGAAGCAGCTTTATTCGCGAAATTAAAAGATAGTCGTCCGGGATATGACAGGTGGGCATTCATGAATAGCGAAGAATCTTAACCGGCTGCTCTATCACAAGCCATGCGAGCGTATACGTCCACAAGGACGTATCATACCAGTTGCTTGCAACCACCCACCATGAAACCTGTTACCTATATAATAGACCACGCCCAGTCCTGTAGAACGATGTCCACAAGTCTCTCGCTTCAAAGGCGAATGAGGTTGGCCGTATTCCCTTATCATAGCACCGATAGGAAGTCTCGAGGGGTTTACTCGGTCTGCTATGTCGTATGCAACACAATGAGCCTGTCGCTGGTATGCCCTATCTGTAGCGGTGAACTAGCTATTGGCTTCTTAGTAAAATAATACCTAAATGCCCATTTTGCGAGGGGAGAAGTAGGCGGGGGATCAAGGTTGATACTAGCATGTTAATCGGCTGCACAGCTTTGGTTACAAGTGTCTCAGAATAATTATACTTTACCGACAGATCGTTGTCATACTATGTCTTATTGTCACGTCGCTGTCGGCCCCCTCCAGCCGACGAACATGCTGTTATACCTCATCGGGGTGACACGCCATTACCTCTAGAGAGCCATGTACGCTTCATAGAGAAAATGATTACAAGTACCGTATCGATAGTAAGGGGATTCTCCGTCGTGGTCTGGATGAATATGAAGGCAGTCGGTATATCAGGCCTCTTCCGTCCATTGAACATGAAACGAAATAGTTTCCTAATGCGTCTGAAGTGAAGGGCAGATCCCAGACTCCCATAATACCTTCTCCTAGATAAGTCCTTGCCTCGGTAGGTAGTAGGTGATAGATACTGTATGGGTCCGTGGCCAGTGTCTCCGGCGGACAGAGAACAACGTACAATTAGTATTGTTACACTAAGCACACGGATTAATGTCCCCTCACTGTATCACCCCCATCGCTGCCTGACTTGCCTCCCTTCTTGTCCGTTCCCTCAGCAACACCACCCCCTCCCCCCTTTCAAGCACAATAGCAGGCACAACCCTCAACAAAACATCATCGTCTAGTGGTTTAGGATACCATATTTTCATTTCTATAGAAAATCTCTGCGGGCCGGAGTTCGAACCTCCATGATGTCTATTTCATCGCCCAGCAGCCCCGATCACGAGCCCGCCCCGGTGGTCTTCACGGCGCCCCTGGCGCCGCCGCCGGGCCCGAACATCGCGCGCAGGTCCCCCACGATCAGGTCGGGCTGCTCCCACGCGGCGAAGTGGCCGCCGCGGTCGTGGTGCTTCTCGTAGACGACGCGGCCGAGCCCGTGGCCCCAGTAGCCCGGGAGGGCGAGGACGTCGCGGGGGAAGTGGGCGAGGCCGACGGGCACGTCCTGCCAGGCCGCGAGGGCGTCGGCGTCGGCGATCATGACGGCTATGTCCGACTCGCCCGCCGCCCGCGCGGCCGGGTCCGCGGAGTGCAGCACCTCGTAGTAGAGCTGCACCGAGAGCCGCGGCCCGGCCGTCGAGTGCCAGTAGATGCTGATCCACGTCAGCACCTCGTCGTCGGTCCACGGGTACGCGTCGGTCCAGTCCACCAGCTTCTCGTAGATCCATGCCAGCAGCGCCACGGGTGAGTCCGACAGGCCGTAGCCGAGGGTCTGCGGGCGCGTGCTCTGGACTGTCGATCGTGTACGGATGGTCAGCTTTTTTGTCTAGACATCTCGGGATAGCTCTGCTCGACTAGAGGGAGAGGGGGAAAGGGGGGGAAGGGGGGGTTGGACACGACGGATCTAAAGCATACTCGAGAAATACCCCGACCCCTCGTCCTGGAACCACTTGGTGCGCTCGAAGCCCTTCTTCTCCCGCTCGGAGAAGCCGGTGACCAGCGCCGAGACCATGGTGCGCAGATAGGCGAGCGGGTTCCGCAGCAGGGTCGGCTTCGGGTAGCGGTCGAGGTTGAGGTGCTGCGCCTTGACGTGCCGCGGCGCGTACCGGCGGCCCATGGCGCGCGTGATGAGGAAGCCCCAGTCGCCCCCCTGCGTCGCGTACTCGTCGTACCCGAGCCGCAGCATGAGCGCGTGCAGCACCTCGGCGTGCTGGTCGGCCCCGAAGCCGCGCCGCCGCGATCCCTCGGAGAAGCCGTACCCCGGCAGCGACGGCGCGACGACGTGGAAGGCCGGGTGCGTCGCGTCGCCGGCGGGCGCCGCCAGCGGGCCCAGGATCTTGGTCGCCTCCAGGAACGAGCCCGGCCACCCGTGCACGAAGAGCAGCGGGATCGCGTCCGCCCGGCTGCTCCGCACGTGCATGAAGTGGACGTCGAGCGGCTCGAAGCCCGTCGCCTGCAGCCGCGTCTTGAAGTGCGGCAGCTCGTTCAGCTTGGCCTCCGCGGCGCGCCAGTCGTAGTCGGTGCGCCAGTGGTCCACGAGCCGCTTGACGTCCTTGAGCGGCGTGCCCATGGACGTGCCCACGTCCTCGAGCTCGGCCGGCCAGCGGGTGTGGCGGAGGCGCTGGTCGAGGTCGGCGAGATCCCCGTCCGGGACACTGATAGTGAAGGGGCGGATCTCCTCGTCTGCCATAATTTGTTTCTCTTTTCTTGTCTAGATCCCTCTATTTCCGATGACCCGGGTCTATCTAGTTGTATGTTAACTTCTAATTCCTCACCACGCCGAAATCAGCTACCTGTGATCGGCTCTGGAGACGGGAGAGGAGCGTTACATGGCGTCGCACGTCTGCAGCGGGCCGCTACAAACTACGGTACTGTACTTATTAAGACGGGGGTTCACATCCCCCGCAAGCCCCATGGGATTTGGTTGTCGCTCGTCTCGAACCATGGCGTACCTGGATGCTGCGATGTAACTCTGCCAGGGGGACCCGGGAGTTTCCTCACACACTGTCTCGGTGTGCCGGGTTGGGTAAGTACCGACTCGGATGCTTGATACTACCCCGACACCGCCATCATGACTGGCATGGCTTACAATTGAACCCGAGGGGGCTGTTGAGCAGTTAAAATTGTTCCGGTTGCTCACCGGTGTAGCCTCGGCTCTGTCCAAAATGTAACTAGTAGACGTTGGAGACGGAACTGGCTTAATAACGCTGTCTTCCTCGCGCACCTTATGCTGACTAACCTTAGCGACTCTGCAGTGGGAGAGAACTTCATTCAAGGAACATCGGAGAAGCAGAGTAAATAAATAGCATAAGAAAAAGAAGTCGATTGATTCGCACCAGCATCCAGAGTCAAGTCATTAATTACCCCTTTTAGTTATCCATTCAAAGCACTTGATATTTCAGTCAGTAATTAACTCCTCCTAAAGTGATAATTGACAAGACACCTCATACACTCTAAGGGGATGCTATAATGTTCTCATAAACTCATAAAATGCCATGATCACACCCTATTCCCCCCCGGACCAAGAATCTACGGCATGGGCAGCGTAAAAGTGCTAAGCTGGCTGATTTATACTGGCTCTTTCCCCAAATTATCTCTCTTTTTACTTCCTTCTTTTCTTTCCTTCTTTCTTTCTTTTTCTTTTTGCTTTCAAATCTCATTACTGGGATACTCGACCTTGGTCGTCGCCGTGAACTCCTCCTTGATGCTCCGCACGCTCACGAAGCGGCCGAGGAGGTTCATGCTGCCGGCCTTGTCGTTGGTCCCGCTGGCGCGCGCGCCGCCAAAGGGCTGCTGCCCGACCACGGCGCCGGTGCTCTTGCAGTTGAGGTAGAAGTTGCCCGCCGCGTCGCGCAGCGCCGCCTGCGCGGCGAGGGCGGCGGCCCGGTCGCGCGCGAACACGGCGCCCGTGAGCCCGTACTCGCTCGCGCCGTCGACGAGCCGGCACGCGTCGAGGAAGGCGGCCCCGGCCGCGTCGCCCCCCCGGGTGTCGTCGTAGACGTAGGCCGTCAGGATGGGCCCGAAGAGCTCGGTGCTGAGCAGCGGGTGCGACGGGTTCGTCGTCTCGTAGATGGTCGGGTGGACGAAGTAGCCCGCGGATGCGTCGTACTTACCGCCGGCGAGGAGCGTCAGCTCAGGATCGCGCTTGGCGTCGTCGATGACGCCCGCGAGCTTCTTGAAGCTGGGCTCGTGGATGACGGGGCCGATGAAGTTCTGCGGCTCCCACGGCACGCCGACCTTCAGAGCGCTAGTCTCCTTGACGAGCTTCTCCTTGAACTCGGGCCATATCGACTTCGGGACGTAGAGGCGGCTCGTGGCGCTGCACTTCTGGCCCTGGTACTCGAATGCGCCGCGCACGGTCTGCATGACGGCGTTATCGATGTCCGCAGAGGGATGGATCAGGTGGAAGTTCTTGCCGCCGGTCTCGCCGACAATACGCGGGTACCCTGTGTATCGGCCCTCGGCGGTGCCCTGACCAATTTGCCCGTAGAGCTTACGGAAGACGGCCGTGCTCCCAGTGTAGTGGAGGGCAGCAAACTGCTTATGCGCGAGAATGGTCTTTGTGACCTCCTCAGGGTTGCCCGGCACGAACTGAATCACGTTCTTGGGAAGCCCGGCTTCTAGAAGGATGTTGTAGAGCAGCCAGTTAGAGGCAATTGCGGAGTCAGACGGCTTCCAAACCACCACGTTGCCCAAAAGCGCCGGGGCGCCGGGGAGGTTACCCGCAATAGCAGTGAAGTTGAAGGGGCTGACTGCATACACAAAGCCCTCCAACGGGCGGTACTCGACCCGGTTCCATACGCCGGGGGCGTTGTGGGCGGGCTGTTGGGCGTACATCTCCTCTGCATATTGGACATTGAAACGTAGGAAATCACACAGCTCGGCGGCGGCGTCGATCTCGGCTTGCCATGCATTCTTGCCTTGGCCTATCATGGTGGCGGCCATGATCTCGTAGCGGTACTTGGTCGAGACGAGATCGGCTGCCTTCAAAAATACGGACGCTCGCTCGGCAAATGGCAGTGACTCCCAGGCCGGCTTCGCAGCCAGAGCGGCGTCAATTGCATTGCTGACATCGGAGGGAGAGGCGAGCGAGTAGGTAGCGACGGTGGTGGCATGATCGGAAGGGTTCTTCTGGGTGGCGGTCTGCGAGGTCTTGATCTGTCCGCAGAGGTTAGAGTGCAAAGCGGAGAAAAGCAACAGGACTCCTTTATCGTACCTCTTTACCTCCTACGACAATGGGTACTTCTATAGCACCCCTACTCCGTAACCTGTCGACCGCTGCATAAAGTTCAATTCGCTGTGGTGAACTCTTGCCATAGTGTTGCTATGCACACGGTCAGTCCAATTGTCATTTTGGATGATGTCGCGAACATACATTGGGCTCGTTGAGAACCTTGGGAATCTTGAAAGCTGCGATACTTGACTGTCTGCTGTTCGTTGTGCTGAGGCATCTGGATTGTTTGGGTGTCCCGAGTCTGGAGGACTGCTGCAACGCCCTCACGAGCCCTAGACTCCTGCGCGCGGTCGCCATTCTGGTCAACAAGGCAGAGAAGATGCGATTTTCGGGATGTATACGGAATATATGATTATGATTAAAGGTACCCAGGCTGAAGGTGGACAGAAGATAGCGAGGATGGGAGTATTCGGGTTCCCCGTTGGACAGGAGCTTGACACCAGCTGTGGCCGTTGCGAGACTTTCGAATTCCGAGTCACAAGCAGAGCTTCAAGTTGTCTGGACATGCATGTTCCATAACGGGTAGCACAGCCTTTTCAATGGCCGGCCAAAGGCAGCCAGATCGGCTGCGATTACTCAGTTCGTAGAGCTCCCCTGTGACGACAGCGAGGCGCGCTCGCTTTGCTGCGGCATAAGAGACGTCAAGCTGGAGATGTGGGCCGGCTTGATAGCGCTATGGCAGGGGTCCTTTGCGGGGTACTTTAGTTTCCACGAACCAAGAGCTTAGCGACAACCAATCATATTCGTTGTACGCTCGTGGCAACTGATAATAATTCCGAGCTCGGAGCCTGCCAGTATCACTACTGCAGCTTTGCTCCGGTGAGCATCGGTCAGCTGCGTCTTCTAGGATCATGAATGTCACCGCTCTACACGTACCAAGTTTTTTGTGACGCCGTGGAAATTGAGTAAATGGGGGATAAATGAAAGATCGGAAGACGTTTGTATGAGACCGTCTGTCATATATCACCTACAACTCTCTCTGGTACGTGGCGTGCACTAACATTCATGATCCTGGAGGACACCCAC